AAAGGAACAGAGCAGTGAAACGTCATTTGTCAACACGATATATATGTATATACCACATAATGAACAAATCTGTCTACCTTGCATGATTAGAAAATAAGTAATAGTATTTTTCAAGTTGTATTCATTGCAATTTGCTCAAAGTTACAGCACCAAGGAAAAACCGGAGTTTGAAGATAGGTGTTTCGTTGTGGTGCAAGATTCCTCGATGTTGCGCATCAGCAATTATACCATGGATCTAAATAAGAACACTTTGGTCTCATGCCTAACGGGTAAAACCGTTGTGTTGGCGTCAAATAATTAAATTGCATATTCAATTAATTTACGGTAAAGTGATGTCATCCAGTCACACTGATGACGAGTATTTCATTCTATCTCTTCTCGAACCCGACCATCTACGAATTCTCATCCAAACTTCGGGAACATCCTGAAGTGAGTGACTGGTGAATTAACTATTGCAGTTTCAATTAAAGGGTCGTTATGATTTTTCTTATGACGACCCAGCTACTCCTATTGCTTAGTAATCTTGGACACTACTTCTCTCGACAAGTCCCAAAGTCAGAACACGGTTGAACAGGTACCTAGATATATTCCAAATAAGAAGGTTGGGTGGAAGTAATAATGTAAATAAGAAGATTCCAGAGTCTTCTCCAAATCTCCGCTAGCGCTGATTGCCTAAGGAATAGCCAATCAGCGTTCCCCCACACAATCTCGCACGGAGTATGCCTTAATCCGATCTATATCCCACTAACAAGAGGGTATTGTGGAGATTGGTTTAATTTGTTACATTAGTTATATTATTATCATGTTTGTAAAGAAGTAGTTGCAGACAACAATAGATTATTAAATTACATTCAATTAAGTATTGACTCTTAGCACTTTCGAATAGCTGGACGACTTAAAAGTTGTGGCAATCAGTGTATTTCGTAAAATAAAAGACATTTTGACTACGGTGACACTCTACAGAATGCTTCGGAGCATAAGACCAGTTATAAAATTACCCGAGTTATCTGACTAGAAACGTTTCTAACGATCATAATTAAGTTTATTCGTCTTAAACATTTATTCTCTTGTAGTTTACATCATGTATTCATATTGATTTTAAAAAAACTATTGAAAACCAGAAATCATTATAGAACTGTTTCGTCCCAGCAAAAAGCTCTTCAGCAGCACTCATCCATGATCCTAACAGGAATAAAACCAAGGACTACCGGTCACGTGGCCAAATGATTCATCATATACTACAGATGTTCCCTAATGTACCAATTACAACTAAGTACACATTATTATTACTATGAAAACTTTAATCATTTCATTTATTAACTACTAATTCACATTTACATAATTTTACCAAAAAAAAGGATTATATGTTAATAAGAGGTCATTCTGAATGAATTAATGTTTGTTTTTGTGAATAATTGTATCTAACGTACAATATTATAATTATTATTACTATTTTACGGATGATAATCAAATATGTTCATTCGTGAAATGAATTTTTTACTGAAAAAAAGTCATTAGAACGATTACATTTTTTGTAGATTCACTGACACTTGTTTTTTTTATTTTTTTGTTTGGTAAAAAGTAGTGACTATGTATTTCTAATTTTACACCATTAAAATTAATTCATAACTACACACAATTTGTGTATGAATGTGTATATCAAACCAGATTAGTTTCGATAACAAGAAATAACAAGAATAACACTATGAATAGATCTTCATTCATTATTGTGGTGATAATAATAATCGATTCAAATCGGTAGAGTTTAATCGTGTTGGGTGTAAGGCAATTAATTCCTGATAGCTATGTTATATTGTGAATTGACTGAAGACAGAAACGTAAACTATTAATTGATGATTCAGTTGTCTAAATGATGAAAGCTTACCAACACCCAAGAGATCTGGAGGTTCTTATTGCCAATTAATTCCTTACTGAAATTAAACAATTACCCAGTAATTTTTGAGCTTAAATGATTGTTTAAGGTCAGTCTTTAATGTAAATTATACAGTTCAACAATCTCTACAAACCTTCTTTACAAATCATTTGAAATTAAAAATTAAGCAAAAAAACCGATCACAGTTTCAATTAGAATCATTAGAATGTATTTCATTAGCTTTCAATGTATTGGGTTAGATTATTTATGTCATTGAAGAAAACGTTCTTTAAGTACATTTGAATAAGTAAATAACAACAATTAAAAGAAAACCCTTATACATATGCAAATAATGTGCTCCTTAATACCAAACTTCAAAACGTTTTTGTTAGAAACAATCACTGATATAGTTCAGCCATGTCAAGAATGAAACACGTTTTGTCTGTACTATTGGATGATGTTTGCGAAATCACTTAGTTCAAGAATGCGAGGCAAAAACATTTTGGATTCCTCCTAATGTTACGGTAGTACATGCGTGCTGTTATGAATTCCCCTACTGGAAAAAACAACTGTCCATTTTCCTCTACTTTTTATTTGGGTGTCTAGCTATAGTCAATTCGTGATGTAAACTATAAATCAACTTCTTCCTATAAATCTCTTTCATCAGTAGTTAAATAAGCTGTTCATAGTTCACAAATCGTCGCCCATTAGTTACAATACTAATCAAACGAGAAAGCTATTAACTGAATTCGAAGGTAATACAATATTGTGTAATTGAAACTAGTGTCTGAAAGTCAAACGAAATGAGAAAAGATTATCAATAAGATAGTCAGTTTGTAAGACCATTAACAGAATACTGCAAGGTGCATAATAGACATATAACCCATATAGAACAGAAAAAAAACAGACAAAATAATGTTCCTCATTTGTTCGAATCTAATAAAAATTATTAGTTTATCTGTAAAAAAAACTGTTACAATTTCATATTGTGTTGTTGAACCGACCAAATATAACACAGAGAACACCAACTCAATCATACTTAATGGAGAAATTCTGGAACAGGTGAATTTTCACATACTTTGAAACGATCATCGATAGACAAGGAGAATTTGATGAAGATGTAAGTACACGGATTGGCAAAGTAAGGACAACATTCCTACAGTTGAGGAACATATAGAACATATGGAACAACTGACAGTCAACATCAAAATGAGAATCTTCTATACAAACGTCAAGTCAGTTCTACTATACTGAGTTGAAACTTGGAGAACTACCACAACCATCATCAGAATAGTAAAGGTATTTATAAACAATTGTCTATGCAATATACTGAATGTCAGTTGACCGGATACCATCAGAAATAGTCCACTGTGTTAGGGAACAAACTAGCTTCCATCTGAAGTGGAAATTAGGGAAAGATGTTTGAGGTTGGTGAGACATATATTGTGGAAACCATCAGATTGGATCATGAGACAAGTGCTAACTTGGAATCTTGAAGGTAATGGGGAAAGTGGTAGGTCAGGGAACATATTGAATGGTGAATTTGAGGTAGATATCAAAATAATGAATGGGAACTGGAAGTGATTGTTGAGATCAGAGTTTGATCGAGAATGTTGGTGTATGTCGTATGCTCCTCCACGAGAGGGAAAAGTCCTATGTAAGTTTCGGACTGACAGGATTATTGAGGATGACCTTTTTATCTATAATGGTGGCCAAATATAACAATAATATAATTCAACTTTATTGATACTATGGGACAAAACCTGAACATATAATATCGAATTATTTGCTTTGAAACTAAAGTGAAGAGATGGCTGGTGTTTATTTTTAAGAAATAAGTTTTATTATGTGTCGATGAAATCAGCAAATAATAAAATGTCAGTAATACTAAATGGTTAAATGTAGTGGACAGGAAACTTTGACACTTAGTTTTATATTGGTTGACATTCCTTAATATGGTGTACCTAGAAATTTGGGTGGAAATACAATTTCCTCAGGGACTCACATCTGTATCACTTAGTGTTATATCTAGAGAAATTATTATTCGGTTATCAGATCTTTGACTTTTCCATCCACGACTGATATGTCTCTATAAACTCGTTGCTATGATTCATTTGATGTTTGTGATTTTTTTCTATAAAAGTGTTACAGTAAAAGTCAGGATTCTTCGTTCCATTCGCTACTTGACAACTGGATGTGCTTGAATCCTAGTGTTAAGGTTCGCATAAAAAGTCCTATCAAAGAATCAATTATTGTGAATGCTAGCGCGTTTTTCCACCAAGCGACTGTGTCCAGACTCACTCCAGTCCCTCGAAAACTTGATTTTATTCGATATACAAATGTTAGTTATTAGTGAAATCTTGTTCAATAATCAACACCTCCAGTTGTTATACGACAAAGCTAATTTTTTATGAGATTTTGTAAAACGGAAAAAGTATTCATTAAAATTCTCTATTAACCATTTCATACCTAGCGCTTTTGATCATTTATCTGTTCAATCAGTTGGTGTCTACTGCATATTAGTGGGTAGTTTTCGCTTTGACTGACTGGATTTATTCATAACTCATTCGCGTATAAAATATGAAAAACACAAATAGGATACATATTGAAGTTTGAAATGAAATCTTGAGTGAAAATTGCACTCTAATATGTAACAACCATACACTAATTGAACGGAAAACTAGTCAAATATGCTGGATAAAAAAACGGGCTTGTTGAACATTTTAAACTTGATGGATGACCTTAACCATTTATTAATTTTGAAGACGTATATTTTTTAACATACAAACTCATTTTTCGGGAGAGACATAAACCTACTTCATCACGTTTATAGAGATGACAGTGAATTAGTTTTTTTTTGAGAACTTCACAATAAATCTTAGTAGTTTCGTGAAAACAGTTAAATATATTAGGAATATTTTGTATAAATTAATGCCATACACCATGTGTAACAATCTGATCACATATGGACATATATATAACCATTCAACCCTTGATATTGGAAATTAAAATCAATACTGTCAGGATAGTTCCGATTGTGAACTAATTTTTAATATACAAAGGAAGTTTTGAATTTTTATGTAATTAAGGTTTTTCTCATTTTAAATACTGACCCTAGATGCATTTTCTATACATTGTTATACTGGTTACTTTTCGATTGGTCATATGAAACACTTTCTGAAGTTGACTCTAAGTGAGAGTCATCAGTACGATTTTCGTCAACGTTATGGACCTGTGTATAAGGGGTTATACCTGAGTTACGAGTGCTTTCTGTCTGATTTTCTAAGTCTCCTGATGTTAGACTAGTCAACTGTGTGTCCATGTAAATACCAAACTCTTTACAAAGATCACCAACGGCTACTATCAAAGGAGAAAGTGCATTAGCATCTGTAGGGGCTTCTGTATGGTTGTCAAGATTTTCTGAGGTTGAATCAGATATAACTGTTTCTGTATGAATATTATCTGTATGATTTCCACCACTTGTCACAGTAGAAGTGCTTTCTGTATGATTTTCACCACTTGTCACATTAGAAGTGCTTTCTGTATGATTTTCACCACTTGTCACATTAGAAGTGCTTTCTGTATGATTTTCACCACTTGTCGCATTAGAAGTGCTTTCTGTATGATTTTCACCACTTGTCACAGTAGAAGTACTTTCTGTATGATTTTCTGAACCCTCTACAATTATCGGAACAATGATATCATTCTGAGTAGTATCAGTTTCTGTCGTCAGAGTAGAGGAAACATCTGAGTTGTCAGTGCTATCTGAATTGTTGTCAGAATTTCCTATCGTAGATTCTGGAGGATTTGAGGTTAAGTTGACAACAGTCTCAGTGTTAGCAACGTCAGCCACTACAATCGACTCAGAGGAATTCGAGTTAGATGTTCCTTCTTTATGACTGTCTACATTTGTGGTTTCATTCAAACTATCAACACTTTCTGCAACAACATCAGAAACGATTGACGGCTCTTTATCTTGTCCAGAATCAGTCTTTCCGACGGATGAAATTTCATCTGTAATACATTTAGAAAGAAAACGTTTGTTGAAGTTATTCATCGAATTCAATCACATGTTTAAATTTAACATTTATCAGTGTTAACAATCTCAGCAAATCCAACATTCAATACATTTTAAAATAAACCTCACATGTAATTTATACTACTGATTTGTCCAACTTTTCCACTCTGTCTTTATAGTCTGGAGAAAATCACTACAAATACTCAGTCTATTAAAACATTTCAATCAATAACTCTCAATATCATTCACTGATTTGAGTAATGATGTGTTTAAACAGAACAAGAGAAGGAATGACCAGTTGATTAGAATGTTGATCTCCCGTTAACTTGATTATGTGAATAATCGAAGAATGTTCTAATATATCCTCAGTTTATCATTCTACTTTCTCAATAATTGAGTTCTTGTTATTTCTTTGTTATTTTCTAGACATATTTGACTGAATATTGAATAAAATATGGGATGTTAGATAGAACTAAACATTCGATATTATAGTATTCTTACTTTATTCTTGATATTCTTAATAGCTAGCATTGAATTCTGTTGTGAAACATTAATCTGTTAGATTTCAAGAGTATTTATAAATAAATGAATTACAACTTCTTAACTATATGATTTCTGTCAGAAGGGGTGTTTTTTGTGTGAATATTATCGTAATTTCAATAGTTGGGATCATGAGTCAATTGAAGCTAGATAACTATGAGAAACCTGGAAGCACTGGACGTCCATTTCAGTGACTCATCATCTTAACTATTGAAATTACTATGATATTCACAAAAACCCCTTTTGATATTAATCAACATATGTTCTCTAGTGACTGGCTTCCAGAGGTATTTCATGGAGTTCTAGTGAGAAACAGTGACCAATGGAGTTCAACCGGTCTGTTATGAGATAGTGATTCACTGAAAACAATGATGGATATGTCGTTCAATTCATGGATTAGTTGAATTAAACATATGATTTCTGTTAGAAAACAAACATTGTACATAAAACATTCAGAATTTAATTAATATTTCACACTGATAATAATATCAGTTTGTTGTCTAGTTAGTTTTGTATCATTATTGTTATGTATCATGTAGATTTATATGTCACCAGTTAACTAAAATATTAATTTAAATATTGAAAAAGAAAAAAGGAATATTCATGATAGAATCACTTATTTAAAATTATTCTTACCTTCATTTGATTTTTGTAACAAACCTGCATTCACATAAGTAAGTAAGCATAGAACAGATAATAATTGAATATTTGTAATCATTGGAATCAATTTCATTGAATCTCTTTAATTTAATTAAAAAAAATAGAAGAACAGTATAAAAGACAATGTTAAATTAATTAAATGACATCATTTCAATTATACTGTCATAAACCAATCATTTATACATTAGTTTAATATGGATAAGTTAAACACATTATGTTTATGACCAACAGTCATTTTATTAAAGTGTTATAAAGTGTCAATATGGCGAGTTGGGTGGGGTTGGGGTCTAGAGAAATTTATTTGAGAACTTTTTTATTTATTTTTTAATTAATTATTCTTTCTAGTGAGTGTCTTTTGGAAATCTTTGAATGGTAAATTTTATTCATTTGTATTTAATAGATTTTTTATGAAAATCGTCAACGAACTGTACATGTCTATCGAATATAATTGTTATTCAATAAAATCCAATGATTTCTTTTATTAACTTTTAATGGAATCAAAATATCCTACAATAACTATGAACAACATGATGATTATGTAATACATGAATACATTTGAATACTATGAAAGTATATTTATTGATATTCTGTTCTCATGATTTTGAGTAAGCTGAAAATAATTCTCATAATATACCGATATGATTGAGAATAATTGAAAAAACAAACAAAGAAAATTGTTTGGTTTGATGTTAAAACTAAATAGAACAATTAGTACAAAAATTGACCTAATAGCCTAAAAGTTTTATAGCCAGTTCAATTAATTTACATATTTTGTACAGATTTGAGTAGATTGTGTAAATATGACTGTTTGGATTGTAGATTTACAAATAGTCGAATAACTTCGGAAAATATCATCTTATACAAAAAAGTTATGATATTTAATTAGTGGCAAACTAACAGACTAATAGAACAATCTATGTAAAGTGTGGTTTTGAAAATATGAAAGTGAGAAAAGTAAAACACTTTGTTAATAAACGATAGCATTGTAATCCCAGTTAATGGGTAACATCATTTCTTACTCGAATATTATGATCAAAAAGATGGAATATGCTTTAAACCTTGTATTTTACAAGACGTTTATAATTCATACGTTATGTATAAAAGGTTAAATGTGTTATTCTGTATGATTACAAAATACAATCTCTCGACAAAATGAGATCATGCAATCATTTGAATTTATAGGATAAGGACACGAATTAGTAGTTTTGACTACAAAACGTTTACTGTAATTCTACTTGCATGTTAACATAATTTGATAGAGAATCGAAGTTTCACATTTCTAGACGATATAGATAGGTATATGAACATCATTTAGAATAAGTGTATTTTATTCAGTTTTCAACATCTTACTTTCGATTCTATCATATGGAGTTGGCATATTATAACGGAAGTAATGTTTGCGTTTATCTGCTTCAACGTTTAATTTATCGCTTAACCATTGTGAAACTATAATTCAGTGTTTGTGAATGAATCAACAATAAGAATATGATAATTTTAACTAATTACTATGTGAAATAGTTTTTGGTAGTCTCATAACACCTATTATAATACTATACACTAAAAACGTTGAACGAATATTCAACTTACCACTAAGATAATAAGTGCAATTTGGAATAATGAGCAAACTGAGGATGATCAAACGTTTATATTATGTTGCTATGTGCTGCCATTGGTTATTTGTCAACCAATCATAATCGTTTTTAATTGTTTCAGGTTCATATTACCAAATATAATGCACGCAAGGTCACAATTATTTTTTTTACTATACAACGGGCTGCATAGAGATTTTATTTCAATCTGAAATGAATCCAGCATTATTTATCATAATTATTGAATAAATAAACCAAATAGGTCAAAAATTAATAAAAGTTATTTAATTCAATTCTGTTTGCTTGATTGCAGTACAAAACCCTTAGCACAAACCACATATTAATACGAGCAATTTTCTGGTTGTTATGGATTTTTATTGTATGACTTAAAAACAGATTTGACATAGGTCAGCACAATATTGATTACCTGTCATTTATGTTAAAAATCAGTAAAGTGTTTCAACTTGCTCTGTCCCTACTCTACCTCATTTTATTGATTGAGATCTTTATTGTAGTGATTAGTTGTACAAAACAAACACACGAGTAAATAATGTGGCCAATTGTAGTAACAATAAAACTGAATTACTTGATACTAGAAACAACTATAATTTCTATGATGTAAATTAGAACACAGAAATTGGTACAGATGGAAATTTCTTATAGACCCTTCAAAATATACCTACATTTTTTGCAACAGTACATAGCTGGAACTGGATACTGTAAACTATAAGTCTCATGACGTAAGTCAGGAGATAAAAACAACAGATAAGGATTTATTTGATACTGACAAAATAATTAGTTGAAACCACTATTTGAATAGTTATTGTATGGGAAAATTATATTTGAAATAATCACAGTGATTGAAATTTAAATAATTTTAAAGTTTCGTCCTGCACACTTGTCTGGGCTTCTTCAGGTTAAGACCATTTTTCGTATACTCATTTTTTGGCACAATTTACATTGATTGATAGCCAGATATTAACATATTAAAGGGAGTTGTATAAGACATTGATAAATCAATAATTTATTAGATAGAGATAAATATGTTACGTCATAAAATCAACTATCCACTGAAAAAAAGTAGATATAATTAAAGGTCAGTCAATTCCATAGGTCAATGACATTTCAGTCTTTGATCAACAATATCATGAAGATATAAATTTGATTAAAACAAACCATCAATCGGTTCATGATCTCAATCAATATATTATAATTTGTTTATTTTATATTCTACTCCTTGGTAATGAACATCTAGAACCTCAATCGAAATTGAACTTATAGTTCATCATTTACCTCATTAATTTTACAGCTTTTAGTTTTGTATGTTTTGTTTATTTTCTTTCAATTTGGGTTACATGACTATCATTCTTTTCACTGAAGGTTAGAGATAGTGATTACAAGAGGGGGATCTGTGTAATTGTTAGAGAATAGTTAGATGAATGGAATATCATAAGATATTCTAAATAGTTCTAATAGATCACTATAAGTGCTAATAAACAGATAAAGACATTCTACCATGTAAACTTAATATTAATGAGTCAGGTATAAGTATTTTCTTATCTCCACATTTACTTCCGTTTAGTATAGTATAGTAGGAGTGAATAAGATTTGAAAAATATAAGGTGATCCTATAATGACTGATTGCTTTTATTCAAAGATTTTTACAAACTATTGTATCATAATCATTTGAGATTTATTAGTTTAAAAGTTATTTCTTCTTATTCATACTTTACTGTTTGTTTCAAAGTATATTTGAGATTTGAATTTTAAAGTGAGTGATGAATATAAATCTACATATATGAATATATTAACCATAGTTTTTCTATGATCCCTTTCATTCAGGCTATGGTATAGATCACGGAAAACTTCCACACAATAAGTCTTGATTTTCAATAATACATATTAGATTAGAATAGTAATTAGTAATCGTATTGTGTTTTGTTGTTGTTTATTTCCATTTAATTCTCTATTGAAAACACAAATATACGTTATTTCAAGTCCTACTTAGTCATCATGGTATGAATGTATAATTAGAAATGATTCAAAAGAAAAGTCACTATGATATTGTTATCATGAAATTTGAGATATAAAATTTTTAAAAAAACTGAAAGTGAATTATTTGGTCATTTAAGTGTTACTTCGATAAGTGATACTTTAAAACAAAGATCGGAGTCATTCAATTCAGTTTATTTGAACTACTAATATATCAGTTTTCACTTAGTGTAAATCAACTATTTTATTCGTTTTAGGGACGATAAGTAAACTATTCCGAAGTTTGCTGGTTTGGAATGAACAAAATTGAATGTTTGGAAAGATATTTTCTACCATAAAATAAAATAGATATTGATCGAGATTAACTTCTTATCATTGTGACAGATCATAATTGTATTATGTAGAGCAACCAGTATGTAACCGTTTGAGATTTCCGGCGTAAATCGAATGGTTCATTGTTGAGTACTTTAATTAATAGACCATCATCTTGCTTTACCATAGATAGGATTCTTTTCGATCATTTTCTACAACCTAGACATGGCCGCTCTTTGAGATTCAAAATCCCTACACAATTAGTAATTAAAACTTATCGACTTACTGTTTCAGCATGTGAGTTTGAATACTCTGGAACATTGTAGTTAACTGACATTAGTCAATCTAATGTGGATCAAATAGTATATTTTGCAATCTTTGACTTCATCTGTCTTAACTGTATGTTAGTAGCAATGACCTTAAAATTTATCTTAATGAATCTGTTTGATACTTTGTGTTAGGACAAGATAAACGCGAAATCATATGCAAATTTAGTGTGATTTTTAAGTCGTATAACGTTCGTTTTACTTTTAACTCAGTGTGATATCCTTTCAGTTTACCATTCATTTTATTTCACTGATGTACTCAGTACGTAGTACATAGTAGTATAATATATATTATGTATGCTTTGATTCGAGTTATTTAATATACAATTATTGTGGCAGATATTTCAATTGAATAATAATAAGCAATGAAAGAGTTATTGTTTGCTAGAACCAGATAAAATGTGAGGTCATATCTTATTTCATTGTGATGTTTATTCAGTATAACATTGTATTTGTATTTGTACTAATTGGATAGAATATCCGTTCAGTATAACATGTAAACTTGTTGTTATATTAATTGAAGTGAAAAATTGATTTTTATATTCCCACTATTTCAGTAATGTAGGCGCGACTATAATTTATAGACGAACCAATCAAATTTAGGATACGAAGTGTTGGATTTGAGCGCGAAATTTATTCATCCATATGACGAGATAGAGTTTCGGCATTTTTGCTGATATAAGTTCGTGATGAAGACTCTAAATATCATTCCGAGCCCTAACCATTAACTGTAAATCCTAGTTCCAATTCCTGTCACTAGTTTATAGCCCTCATTCAGTCCTAGTTAGTATTCAGACGTTCTCTACGTCACTTCAGCGTCACTCAATGCTCGTCCATGAATTTCACTCTCACCAATGATTGTCGTGTAATTACAGGGTGAATAGAATGTATTTCTATCTTCCGTTTACATCTCCTCCGTTGTGTAGTGTGAATTTTAGTATTTCATGTACAAAGTATCAGTGCAGATGGCTGTAACATTGTCAAAAACGTGTTGATTAATCTTGTAACGTTTCGACAGAAACAGATGAAACATGTGATATGATTAGTTTCGCTAGGTAGAATTATTGTTGTTATAATAATTGAAGAAAAGAATCCACTTTGATATTCCAACTACTTCAGTAATGTACGATATTTACTGACTAATCATCAAATGCCTATACAGTTGATAGATGAATGATTTCATTTGGTTAGTAAATGGTTTTCATGTGTTTGAGAGGTGATTGAAATCTGTTTCTATCTTAAGTCTTCATCTTCACCTTTTTTATTATGAATTTCAGTATTTCATGTTTAACGTATCACTTTTAAGCGGTTATATCACTCTGGTTCTAAAATTTTCTTCTTAAGTTCAAAGTCAGAAGCACTAGAAATTAGTAACAGTTGATCCTTTTTCCCAAATTTTCCTCTTCCTCTTGTGTATACTATGTTTAATGAAGTCGTCATCTGGGAAGGATTCACCTGTGATATCTTCCTATAATTCTCCTCCATTGTTAATAATAATAACCAAAGGTTATGATGAAATTTGTAATGCTTCCTTCATCTCAACGTAATGTTGCACCAAGGAGCAATCATCATTAGTTCGGAAATATCAGATTAAAAATACGTAATTGCTTTATATAAAACAGTCGAAAATCAACGGAAGAAGTTGAATGAATATTTCGTTGAGCTCATATGCACATTTCTTCACTTCTGGTTTGCAATCTATTTGAAATAAGTTTTGGGCTAAACAGTCTTCCGGTTCATTAATAAATGAAGTGACTAATCTCGCTTAAACTATCTAGTTTTAAATGTTCACGACACTACTACATCGTCATTAATACCACTAACAGTTGAACAGAACCGCTAATCTAAAACTATTTGATACAATCTTTAAGATATCAAGTAATAGCTGCTTGTGCTGAAAATGTAAAGATATATTCGCGGTGTAAAAAATAGGTATTAATTTTAAATACGCACGGTGACATGATAAATTCGTAACGTATATTTAGACTACCTAATGATAATAAAGTAGTATAAACTGGAACACAAAATTCAGAAAAATAAAGATGGAAATTCACATGACGGTATAAAGTTTAATTTAGGTTTTTACTAGGATTATTACTTGCAAGTAAATTCAAGGATACAGATATCAGAATCCATATCTGAGGCAGATACCTTGAGGCAGAATTTTCACCTTACCCTGGTTTTCAAAATTCTGGTAATCATTTATCGAGTTATGATGAAGATGAGATGTTCCAGCGAATAAAAATAGATGGTAATTGGTAACTCACATGTGATGAAAGTATTAAAAAAAGCAATTAAAGTTCGGCGATAAGTGTATAGTGTTCTCCTGGAAAATATTTTCTTGAAAATATGGCGCTTCTGGTACATCGATGCGAATGTAATGATA